AGCAGCTCACTCGTCTATGAAGACAGTTGATAGACCTGCCGTCGCAGAAACTGGCCTCGCTGCTTTGGCTGCAGTCTCACCTGGCAGTCCCAACAGCTAAATGGTTGAGCAGCAGAGGAATGCAGGTGAGACTGGAGTGCGACAGATGCGCCTGGCCAGTCGAGGCCATGACGCATATGTGGTGGGACTGCCCTCGTTCCAGGAAATGGTGGAATTGGTGGTTTCAGCATTGGGAGAAGATGTCGGGGACTAAAGAGCAACAAGGAATGGCCTGGGTTCTGCAAGGGTTTGGGGACCAGGGAGAATGCGGTCAGAAGGGCTGGGGTTATATGAGACAGGTAAGCTGAGCGGTAATGATGTGGGTTATCTGGCTGGATAGGAATGGACGAAGGTTTAAAAGCCAGGAACTGTCGGAACCGCAAGCCGGGAAACTGTTCAAATCTCTGCTCAAGACGGAAATCAGGGCGGATTGGAGAAAGAGAGTGCTCCAAGGGGACAGACATGCAGGGTGCAGATGGTTTCAGGAAACCTGGGCCAGACCGGGGGCTTTGGCGGAATTGAGGGAAGGGAAACTGATCACTTCCCCGTGGTTAGATAGGTAGGTTAGCTAGAGGGGTGGTTGAGAGAGCAGTGAGGGCTGGAGGAGGAACTTGAGATTGGGGGTAGGCGAAGGGTTAGGTGGGAGATTGGCGTTTTGTGAGGATTTGTGGGCATGATGCAGCTTTTATTCTTAGGCAACCAGGGCACTCGGTTGCTTGGTTCAGACCACTGTAGGTCAAACAGTGAGGGGAGGAGGGGGGAGAGTGTCATGTTACTGAGGAGCAGATTGCTCCACCCAGCCGTTGGAGGCTGGGGCTCCGAGCCAAGTTAGGCTCGTGGGTAGTTAGAGAGGGGGCTAGGGGGTTGAATGCTAGGGTAGATGTAGGTGGGCTCTAGCTCAACTTTAGATGGGAAGGAGGCGATGGATTTTAAAATTCAGGGAAAATGTTGTGAGAGACGAGTGGAATTGGCTTAGGTCTTAAGCTAAACCGGCTGATGCTCCGGGTGGAATTGTGAGGTCCCCGGCCTCTCTTTAACGATCTTGGAATGAAATTGTTTGCATTTTGGAAAAAAAAAAAAA